CTCCCAACGAAAAAATATTTTCCCGCAGGAACTGGCGGAATCACGCTCATTTTTTTTCACCGGCTATAGTACTGTTTATAATGATGTTAACAAGGAAAACTAAATCGAAAGTTACGGCTCACAAGAAGACTATACCAACAGGTCGCTCATCAAAAAAGTTAACTAAACAATAAATGATCTGTGAATTAAAGAAAAAAAGCATGGTTCTACCATCCAGAATAAAAAAGTCGTTTTGGAACAATTGCAAGTTGTGCTGGAAATAGTAATTTTAATGAACAGCGCAGAGGGATCATATATCATCAATTAGTTCATCACCAGCGGATTCATGGTCATTATTTGCGTCTCGAAGTGTTGTCAATTTACACAATGACGAAGATACAAATGAAATGAATGTTACGAAAATTGCACCGCGTACGTACACTTTATATAATTGTATAAATAGTAAGGCTCGTGGTGGAACAGGTAATGCTAGTATTAATATAACAGAATATGTAACGCCGAGTCTCCACAAGGCTATTTGTGAAGGTCGTGACGTCCCACTGTACCATCTTTTAATGCCAGCGAAAACAGCAACAGCACAGTATCGTGATGATCATAAAGATGTTAGTTCTTTGACGTTTAAACAATTTTGATCCATGTCTGTTTAAATCGTTAAGTCTATCTTAATTGTTTTTGGCTTTTGTTAAATTTTTAACTGTTATGTGCGACGTTCATCCTGAGCGTCGAGAGGAGCTTACCCATTACTTCAGTTTTATCGTTAAAATCGCCACAACGTTTCCACCACCATTGTTTTTTGAATACCATAAACAGTTTTCTAGTAAAGCTGCTGCAATTCTATCTGCAAGTGGTGTCAAAATTGACTGGTCGGTGTGAGATGATGAACTGTACTTTTCTATTTTTGCGGGACGACGTGCTCGCAATTGTGACCACTATAAGGCTGTTGATCATTTGACTGACTTTTGCCCGGCTGTGTCTCGTTTGAATCCATTTACATTATCACAACATCCACTATTACAAATGTCGTCAGCACCAACGTCTACTTTTTCCGTTCGTCCAAACAATCGTCCACGACGTCATCCTGTTACCCTATCAGATGGACGACATCTCAGGTCGTTGATTCAGGCGTCAGGATCCTGATGAAACCTACCGGATCCAACATGGGAACATGTCGGAAGTTATTGGAATTCGGTAAAATCCGGCAGCAACCGTGCCGGATTATGCCAAAAATCCGCTGCCCGAAATCCATGTCGAAAGATGTCGGAAAAGATCCGACCGGATCCGAATATGGCCGAATGTGATCAGTTTTGAGGTTACTATTAGTCTTAAATTTTTTCTTTCATTTTCTAGTGGTTCTTCTCACTGTTTATTCGAGAAAGTGGAAGGACCCACTAGCCAGGACGTGTACAACACGTCCGGTCAACAGTGTGAGCGATGACTCTTACCATTAAGAATTTGAGGAGAGCAACTTCTCATTTTTCATTTTCTCTAGTGTCGTATTTAAAGCGCTTAAATAAAAAAAAATTGGGACAGACTGAGACTAAGAAAACTGGGGCGAACTGTTTCGGACGAACTGAGAAAAAAATTTATGGGACGAATTGAGAGAGGGCAATTAGGGACGAATCGACAGTAAACCATTTATGTATCCGTTTTCAAATAAAATAATCAATTTTACCGCATTACGAAGATTTTTTTTTTTCTACGAAAGCAAAAAGATACATGATTTTTAATTTCTTAAAATTTATTCGATATACCTTACAATAGACCAAATGGTATTTAGTTCTATTTATTAAACTTTAATTTTAACAACTCGTTTACTTTGTTTTAGAACAATTTTTGGCTGAGACTGATTATAGGTTATAT